TTTGATGCGAGAGGGAGATATCTAAGAATTTACAATGTTGGATAGGTGGATAGATATGAATTCTTATCGATGATTAGATGGGTGTAGAAAGAATTATGTGCGTGTGTAGGGGGATATCAAGAAATTGACATTGATGAATAGATAGAACTAATGCTGTATTCTCGTTGGTGTCTTATTTGGTATTTCGTTTCCATGTATGTAATCTATTTAGCTGAATAGATAGAAAGATATAAATTTTTATCGATATATATATAAGATTGTGTAGATGAATAGGTAGAGGTAAATTAATGGATAGACCAATAGATGTAGATTTGGGAATGAATTTGTGTTAGTTGTCTGGTAGATTTGTATGAAGTTTATAAATAGATAGGTGGATCGATAGATAACTGCGGATGGATTTATATAGATGGATTTACGTTGACGAATACGTAAAAGTAGGTAAATATAAATTTCTGGTAGAAAAATGTAGAAAACTTAATATAGAAGGACATGTGAGCATAAAGATAGACTGATAAATGATTTTTCATGGAAGAATAGATAAACAAAGGCTAATAGGCTGATAGATACTGCCTCGCTTACCGCCTCAGAGACGAACTTTCTTCAGCCACTCCATCATGGTCGACGTTCCTCCTCCAGGTTTTTGTCCCGCCCTTAATGAAGCGTTATGTAGAGGCGAATAATTATCTGCAAAAGTCAATTAATTTAATTGGGTGCCGAGGGTGGGGGTGGGGGTTAAGTGGGGGGTAGGGGAAGGGAGGGCTTTGGGCATTTTTTATGGATCGGGGACTTCCTGTCATTACTTTGCGGGTGGGGGGGGGGGGAGGGGGTGCGGGAGATGGATTTACGTGTCTCGTTTCGTTTACGCGATGGATGGATAGATGGATGAGTGGGTGAATGAGCGGGTTTGTAGATGGATGGATGGATGGATGAGCGGATGCTGGGCAACCTTGGCTGACTTCTGGACAGAGGAGGGGAGGGAGGATGGGAATGGGGAAGGCGAAGATTGGGAGGAGCTAAAGCTAGAGGCGGAGGAGGAGGGAGCAGAGAAGGAATAGAAAAGATAAGAATAAAAGGAGGAGGAGGAAGGAGGAGAAATGAGGAAAGAAGGAAGGGGCTGAATAAAAGTAAGAGGAGGAGGAAGAAAACGAAGAGCTGTTAGAAGAGGAGAGATAAGAATAGTAGTTAGATTGAGAATACGTAGAATTAAAGGAGGGGGAGATGGAGGAAGAGGGAAAAAAAAAGGAAGAGGAAGAATAAGGAGAGAATTTCGCAGGACGAGGGAGATTGTAACCCTTCCCTTTTTTTTCCTTTCCCCTACGTCCAGTCTCGTTAACGTGAGAGAAACTTTGTTGTCCGACCTGCCTCTTGCTTTTGAATAGATTTTCATTGTCGCTTTACTCAGTGGCTTAGTTCGTGCTTCAATCAGACGCGCGCGCGCGCATACACACACGTGTGTTAAATACATAATGTGTATATATACAAATGTTATATATATTTATACATGTGTGTATTCATATTATTATAGATATATTAAAATTATGTCCAGAGAGACAGACAGATAGACATTTTTACATATATGTTCATGTATTTATACATGTATGCCTCCCTCTCTCGTCCTCTCTCATGTGCACACGCATACTGGTAGATACCATGTGTGTGAATATGTATTATTAGATGTGTGTGTATGTGAGAAAACGTATAGACGCCCCCTCCCCCCTTTGGAAAAGCATGGTGCAGGCGACCTCCCAGGCGGCGGCGGCGGCAGCGGCGGCGGCGGAGGGTCTGGGTGCGGTGTTGGTTTTATTGGCGAGGAAGAATGCAATCAGGGGCCGGAGACTCATTAGGGGAACATGTCTCACTTAATGTGACAAGGTAAATTGTTAACATTATGTAATGCGGATGTAACGCGAAGGAAAATGCAGCTCGCAAAAAGGAAAATGTCCTGGGGAGGAGGGACGTTTTTAGCAGGGGGAAGGGGGGTGCCGTATGACTTTGCTCTTTATGTGAGACGCTCTTGTAGACGCGCTCTGGACCCCTTCGACGCTGATGTAGTGCGTGATTGCCTGCGTATGGTTGTGTGTCTGTGTATTGTGTGTTGGGAGTGTCTGTTCATTTGTGGTGTTGTGGGTGTATATTTATGTGTGTTTGTACAATGTTATATTGAATAGAAGAACATTTTCCAGCAAAGTGGATTTACCTTCCACTATTTTCCCATAATTTGCTATATGCTTTCTCTCATCTTCATCTAACTTGATCCTCTCCCCCCAACCCCCACCCCCAAAATGAGAGAAAAAATCCATAAAAGTGATCTTGGAGGTTTATTTATGACCGGTAGGAATCCTTTTGTCATAAACACAGCGGGACCTTTTTGTCGTCTACGATATCGTACCCCCATCTTCCCCTCCCCCTATCCCTTCCTTCCTTCTCGTCTCCCATTTCCCCCTTTTCCTATCTTTGTCTCTGTTCACTCTCTCTATTCTCTCTCTCCTTTTTTTGCAAA